CGTCATGTAAGTTTGGGCATCACATTCAACTTAACAGCTCAGGTTCTCTCTCCCTCTCTCAGGAAATCCTGCCCCCCCCCCTCCCGAGCTAACCGCAAACCGAATCAGAACTATTAAATGAGCAAAAATTTGGACAGCCTCTCACATCCTGGAACAATTTTAGTGCCATGCTTAGGTCTTGAGAGAAGTCTAGCGTTAGTTTCTGTTTACTGAAAAACATTTCAGCCATCTCCGGTAGGCCGGTGACCGTACGTGGGTCGGGTCCGTACTGAACATTTCCCTCCGCGGGCCCTGCATTGTTCTTAGTGAGTTATGCCGACTGCAGCATCCGCCTCTGGCCTCTCCTCCACCTTCCGTCATCCGTGTGAAACTGCAGCAGGCTAGGTGCCTGATTGGCCAGAGGCTGTGAGTCTCCAGGATCAGATGAATTCCTCACCTCAGCCCTCCAGTGTTCACTGCACTTTGACCTGCGTGTGGCTTTTCTTTGCCATCTCTCGGCATCAGGCTTGGATGGGCCAGATCTCACAATAGACTTGAGACACCTGTAGAGGTTTCCCCACCTTTTGTGTACCATACTCCAGGCCTCCCTGATACACAGGGTGTGGTCTGTTTACCCTGGGCCTTGAGTTCTGTAGAGCAAGCACTGGGCAAGTGCATGTGTAAGGAGTCCACTTTGCAGGGTGGTGGGTGGTGACACAGGGTGGATATGTTTTAGAATCAGCACACAAACAGATGGAAATCTAGCACTGAAGGTACTGTTAGGTATTCTTAAGCAAATCGATCCTCCTGTTTTGGATGCTGCTTCTCAAGATTTTAATGTATTTAAGTTGTGTGCCATGTTAACAGTTTTCATAATCTAAAATTCTTCACCAAATCGGGTAGGAAATGAATTGATGTCAGAGGAACCGTAAAGACCAGTGGGACACTCAGGCAGCACTGCATCACGCTTTCACCCGCCTGTTTCCTGCAGTGTTCACATGGGCAGCCCGTAGTCTGAGCATAGGGCCAGGCTGTGCAGCTGACTCACAGGCTATTTCCTCACTTAGAAGGCGGGAACAATAAATGCAGGGACCTCTGGGCTCTAGTGCAGATAATTGTTCTTTGGGTTCACCTGAAAGAAAAGTGAGTTTACATGATGTTTGGTGTTCTTACTTGAGGGATCAGTGAGTCATTCTCCATAACCTGACTTCTTTCTGCCTGGTAAGTGGACCTTCCCCAACAATCTCCCAACTTCTTCTGAGGAGATGAGTCTGATTGGTTGTTCAAACACGCTGTAGACACCATAACTAGTTTCTGGTTAATTTTGGTAATATGTCTACAGAAGCTGTAGTTTACATTTTTATTTTTAAAATATAAAAACCTACTTTTAAACTGCTTTGGCTTTTTCTGTTTTCCCACTCAATCTTCCCAAAATCTGACTTCAAGAACTTTCCTTCTCTGACACACACTGGAATGGAAAGAGCACAGGCTTTAGATTCCCACGATTGCTGTTCAAATCGGACTCCAACCCTGCCATTACTGTTGTGTGACCATTAGAAAATTATTGATTGGAGTCTCTCAGTGCACTCAGGTATAAAGTGGGGATAATGAAACCAACTTTGGAGAGCTGCTCTTAGGATGATAGTGCATATAAAATGGCCGACACATAACAGGATCAGAAGAGAAGGAAGAGTGCCCCAGACCGTTCCTGGGAGGAGTGTAGCCTCGCTGAGACTGCCCAGCGGACCCTGTCTGTAGCTCTTTCTCTGAGTATCCAGGACTCTTCAGGGCAATCCTGTCGCCCTGAAAGTGCGCTGCACAGTAATTGTCTTACTGACCTACATCTCTTGATGCAAATATGGAACTGTCTCAACTTAGGGAATATAAGTTTAATTGAAAGAGGTCTCTCAGAGGTATTTGTTGCTCACAGTTGGGGTATCAAGTGGCTGAAGAACAGGGTATGCCCTCTTGTAACTCTTTGATTGTAAAACGTAAGTATGCATATGTTCATTTATTCGGGACACAATGACTAAGATATTTTGCTTTGTTTTGCTGTTTATTTTTAGAGCAGGCTTCATCTACTGGTCTGGAATGTCTGTTGCCTTTCTTTTTTGGTATTTAGTTAGTTAGTTAGCTGAGCCATCCTGCCACCAGTTGGCAGCTCAGTGCCAGCTCAGCTCAGGCTGGGAACCCAACCGGCGACCCTGTTGCTCAGAGCTCGCACTCTTGAGTGAGCTCTTAACCGACTGAGCCACTCAGCCAGCCCTGTTGCCTTTCTTATTGCAACAGCCATTCATCCAGAGCTTGGGTGGTTTCAGAGCCAACTAATCATCTCATTTACTTAATAGGCTCTGGAGACGCTTCTATTCCTGTTGTTGCTGCTACAAACACCCATGCACTGGGGTAAAGACTGATGACAGCTTTGGCTCCCTTCCGTTCATATCCTGTAGCTAGTCTGGGGCATTCCTGTCAGCCAGTGCTGTTTTTTCCATTCCCACCACAGCCTTTATAGCTGCGGACTCTCACTGCTTTGCATCCTCTAACACCTGACTTTCCAACTCTGCCTCTTTCTGACCCTACATCCTGCTGCCAACTTAATCACCCTAAGAATCTCGTGTCACTCCTCCGCTTAAAAACCTGCAGCCACAACTCAGAAACTACCAAATATGAGTGTAAAGCCGTCGTTGTCTGGCTTTGAGGGTCTGAGATGTGGCCCTAGCCTGCTGTTCCCCATCACTCCATTTACATGTTGGTTGCATATCCTGCTTCACATTACAATTGGCCAGTTTCTAAACAGCCCTCACTCTGACCTCCTTGAAGACATTGGTGCATATCTATCAGACATCTCCTCTCTGCCAGGTCCTGGGGACACACAGATAGACAAGAAAGGCAAGGTCCCTTCCTCTGGGAGGCCCTTTCTCCAGTGGTTGGGGTTCTTAAAGTGTGTAGTTTATCCCACCTCTCTAAAGACTGGTGACTCCCTGGGCCCAACGTTTACTCTCTTCTCTGAGCGAGCTTCCAGTTCTCTATTTAGTCATTTAGTTACTTTTTTTTTTTTGGTGGCACTAATCACATTCTGCCTTATATTTTAAGTTTTTTTCCCCTTTTTTATTTGCTTTCCCTATTTTTTAACTTTCTTGAGGACTAACTGACAAATAGTTATATACAGTCACGTGCCATTTAAAGACGGAACGTTCAGAGAAATGCGTGGTCAGGCGGTTTTGTCGCTGTGCAAACATCACAGAGGGCACTACACACACCTGGATGGCCCAGCCCACTGCACACCTGGCTGTGTGGTCCAGCCCACTACACACCTGGCTGTGTGGTCCGGCCCACTGCACACCTGGCTGTGTGGTCCGGCCCACTGCACATCTGGCTGGATGGTCCAGCTATTGCTCCTGGGCTACACACCTGTGCAAGACTGCACAGGTTTACACTGTTTACAGCAAACTTTTTTAATATTAGAAAGAATCCACTCTAAAATAATGATAGATAGGGCCAGCTGAGTGGCTCAGTTGGTTAAGAGCTCGCTCAAGAGTGTGAGCTCTGAGGAACAGCGGTTCGAGTCCCAGCCCAAGCTAAGCAGCTGCTGAGCTACCAACAAGTGGCAGGATGGCTCAGCTAAAAAATAAATAAATAAAATAATGATAGAAGTATAGTATAGTATAGTAAGCACATACATCAGTACAAACTCATTATCATTATCAAGTTTTCTGTACTGTACATAATTGTGCTATACTTTTACACGACTGGCAGTGCAATTGTGCGTACACAACTGTTGTTTAAAGTATACTGACTGCATGATGACTGGACACACATCCATTGTGGGATGACTGCCAAAATCAAGGTAATTAACATCCAAAGAAGACATACAAATGGCTAATAGGTATTTGAAAAGGTATTCAACGTCACTACCATGAGGAAAATGCAAATCAAAACCACAATGAGTATTTATTTTTCTTTACAGATTTCTGGGCAGCTTACGGGCATGGGCTGTGTTTTTTGGGTTGTTTTTTTTAATATTCTCCATGATGCTGAGCACAATTTATTATAATAAAAGTTCAATATTTATTTGCTTTATTTATGAATAAGCAAATGAACCTGGGATCCAGAGTTACCCCAGGCATTTGTTAGGAGCATTTATTTACCTGTTCTCAGTGTTCTTTTCCTGAGTTCCAGTGTCTAAAAACTATCATCTAGTCATTTAAATCAATAACACTTAGGTGTTTTATAATATGCAGGATATTTGGAAAACGTTTACATGATATGCAACCATAAAATTTGATATTCTAATCAAATCTGTTTATTTTAATACAACAGAAACTTAGTTTAATTACTTCACACACCAGCTATTCTAATGCAGACTTTATAACTTACTCATCATGTTCTTTCCTCTTCCTAGAAAAGTACCATAACAGTAACCAGGGTGTAACTTTTTTCCGTCAGTAGCTTATAGCAGTTATTTAGATCTCTAAACAAACCTGTGGAATATATAGGGTAGGTGTTATTCCTACTTTAAATATGATGAAACTAAAGGACAGGGAAGTTCCATAATTTACATGAGGTCAAAGCTAATCAATGAAAAAAATCCAGGCTTACTCAATATCATGGGATTGATACTTGTGTATTTTTCATTACTTTGAAATAATTATGCTTTTTTTTTCTTTAGTGAAAGAAATGATGTCTTAAGAGAAGCTGAAATTTTACACAAAGCTAGATTTAGTTACATTCTTCCAATTTTGGGAATTTGCAATGAACCTGAATTTTTGGGAATAGTCACTGAATACATGCCAAATGGATCATTAAATGAGCTCCTGCATAAGGTAAGTGTTTACATTTTCCGTGGCTACAATTCTCTTTTTCAGGCTATACACTGCTTTGGTTTTACATATGATCAAATTATTTGGAGATATATAGATGAATCAAAATAAGAATAATGACAAACAAATGCAGTAGTGAAGTTTCACCATTTATGGCTGCTTCTGTGTTGTTGAAAATGTGAACTTGGGCCCTGTATTCTAAGGCTCCTAGATTATATGGCTTAGGTGACTCTTCTTGAGTTTCACATTGAATTCCAATACCTCATGTAGACACAGAAGAGAGAAAAGATAAATTCTGCACATTATACAATCCACTCTTAGACCAGATTTTATTTTATGTTAAAGGAAGTTTAGGGTTCATGTTAAATGTTTAAAAATACCAGTTCATCAAGTTCTGAATTAACACTTTGTAAGAGGGCATTTTTCTCTATATGACGAGTTTACTCGTTTCCCGCAAACAATGTGTTAATAGGCCAAAGAAATCTGTCTCTGAGTTCCAAATGCATTAACTTCTCCATAAAAGACAATAATAGCAAGAGCCTTCACTTTTTCCGTCAAGGTATCAGTTACTCTGGCTTTGATGAATAATCCTATCAGTAAACAAATTTGAGGATTCTCCTTCTCAAAATACATGTGTTCATCTATTGTTGTTTGCTTGAGCTGATACTATTATCTCCAACCTGCAGTTTCTCTTAACAAATTTTTTTAAACCACTCAGTTCACTTAGTAAGGATCGGTTTAGTTAAAACTGGAGAATATACTGTGAAATTCCATTACTGGACACTCCTAAGTTCTGATGATGCATGAGTGGGTGCCACTGTCACTTCCTCTGTGTTTCAGGACACATCACACTCTATGATGTGACCATCTGGAACAAGGATGGAGTAAACTAAACTAGTGTTAGGGTGTAAGATCGGTATAACCACCACAGCAATCAAGGTACAAATACTAATTAAGCACAACCTCTTTTTGAACAATGAATGTCAGCACAAATTCTAATGTCTTCCTCCTGTACCCCGGCACCCCAGTAGATACTCGGCACCCATATTTGCAGCTCCCTAGAAATCACAGCAGCCTCCTTCACAGGGGTTGCTGACTCTGCAGGAGCCATAAAATATAGAGCCAGCACTGCGCCCTTGTCAGAGCCCTCGTTAACACTACACTGCAGGAAGGCCTCCTTACTTCTTTAAACCACACAATTTTCAGAAAACCTACCTTTTTACAGATTAAAAGATTCAGTTACTCAAGTAGACGGGGATCTGTATATACCAGAGGAAGTAACATTCAACGTCAGTGTTTATTTTGGTTTCCTGTATTGCGTTATTAGGGTGGGATTTCTCTTGAAGCATCCTCCCGATGTCACAAAGGCTGTTTGAAATAAATCAAAATATAATGTAAACACACAGTATTTTGACCCACTTCCCCGCCAGGTTGCTTACTGAACTATAAGATGATCCACTTGTAGAAAACATTCTCAGAAATAGTCTGGAGCTTTCAGTAGAAGCATACTTTTTCATTTAGAAAAATGTACCCAGTGGCATGGTGCCTGATGATTCATTGTTGGATCCTCCCAAATGTCTAATTTTCTGAGTATACTCATTCTCCTGAGATGCTGCATTACTTTTTATGTTCAGAAAACATTTATTTTAAGGAAGTTCAGATGGATATCACTTGCAAGTATCAAGAAATACAAAACATTATGTTTTAAATTTGTCTATATTATTTATGCTTTAGAAAAGAATATGATCTTTGTCTCCTTCATAAAAACAAAATTTAAGGCTAATTTTTCAAGTTGGAATGCATATAAATTAACTATATAGTTAAAAGTATGAGATATTAATGTTACTAAATATAATATGGTCATAATTTTTAATTGATGCAATGATTATAATAAAGGCTGGTTTTATATTAATAGGAAAATTAACATATTAATTTTGAATTAATGGGTTGGTATATACTAGAAACAGTGTGTGTCTGTGTGTGTATGTATGTGCGCATGCGCGCACGCAGGTGCACGCGCGCGCACACACACACACACACACACACACACACACACACGTTACTTAATATAAGCCATAGAACGGAGATGGGTGTGGGCATAGGTATGTCATGTGATCAAAAAATACAGTGAATGTTTAAAAAAACCTATTACAGTAAAAGACACATTGCCATTTCTCCCCCTGAAAATATTCCCCCTCGCTTATCCCATCCTTCTTGCCACTTTCTGAAAAGTAGTTCTGGAAATCCTCCTCAATGAGTGTCTTTAGTTGCTCTGTCATGGCTGCCTCGATGTCCTGAATCATTTTGACTTTGGGGAAGAGCCAGAAGTTGCACAGTGCCAGATCCGGCGAATAAGGTGGATGAGGACACACTGTAATGTTTTTATTTGACAGAAAGTGCCATACCAGAAGCGATTAGACACGGAATGCTGTCATTTTGGAGAATGATTTACGTCACACTTTAAAACACACCTTCTCTCAGCCATAGCTCACACCTAACTGCACCAAACAAGATGAAACTTGTCACCTATTGTTACTAAAGTTTGATGCGCTGCTTCCCATATTGAAGATCCTGCCTTTCCATTGGGTGACACTTGGCAGCAGCACGCACCATATTTTGTGATCACAACAGAAAGGCTCCATGTCACACGTTGCTTCTGGTATGGCAATTTCTGTCAAATAAAAAAAACAGTACGGAGTGTCCTCATCCACCTTATTCACCGGATCTGTCTCTCTGCAACTTCTGGCTGTTCCCCAAAGTCAAAATGATTCAGGACATCGAGGCAGCCATGACAGCGCAACTAAAGACACTCATGAAAGAGGACTTCCAGAATTGCTTCAGAAAGTGGCAGAACGATGGGATAAGTGTGTTAGAAGCGAGGGGGGGTGTTTGGAGGGGGATTAATGGCAATGTCTTTTACTGTAATACTTTTTTTTTAATTTAAACAGTCACCGTATTTTTAGATCACACCTCATGTGTCTGGGTATTAACAGATACAAAATAATTGAAACTGTGTCAACTGAAGAAAGAAGACCCAATATCGTGTAGTTACATTAACAATGTAAACTAAAAGGGAGTATCAGTACTATACAGTTATTATACTATTTTCTCTAAAAAGCGAGGAGTCAGATAAAAGGATGTTAATGTCAAATTGATGCTCTGTCATAGAAACGAATGTATGTTTTAACCTTAGTTTACACTACATTTCCTCATGGAGTATTTCATTTTCTAAGTGGGAATGTGATGAAATGTGGCACTGATTGGGTTTCGTTTCTTCCATGCGTCCGAAGAAAACCCAGTACCCAGATGTGGCCTGGCCCTTGCGGTTCCGCATCCTGCATGAAATAGCACTGGGCGTGAACTACCTGCACAACATGACCCCTCCCCTGCTCCATCACGACCTGAAGACACAGAACATCCTCCTGGATAGTGAATTCCACGTTAAGGTGACTGCTTTGAAAACAGCTGGTCTGCATCCTTGGGATTAACAGCTTGGTAGTTACTTCTTCCACCGGCCGATTTAACACCTCCCTCTCTACAGCCCGACTCTGACCTTCAGCTCCCTTCTTCCTGCTGCAATTGCTTAGCTATTCCTACACCACAGAGGTAGAGAAAATCACAGTACAAAATGCAAAATCATTATGTTCTTACCTGAAATTGTGGAGTATACCTTTTATACTTTTTATTTTGAAATTATTGTAGATACACAGGAAGCTGCAAAGATAATACAGAGGTCCCATGGCCCTTCCCGCAGTTTCCCCAGTGGTTTCCTCACACAGTGATCGCACAGCTTCAAGGCTAAGAGCCCAACAGTGGCACAGTGCATGTGTGCAGACCTATGTAACCAATCAGTCAAGACAGCCCTCTGCCACCACACCCAACGCAGCATTCATGCCACTCCTTTCTAGTCACACCCGTTCCTCCCCTCCCCACCTGACCCTGGAAACCACCAGTCTCTTTTCCTTCACTAGAATGCTCTCATTTTGAGAATGCCTTATGTGTATGATATTTTCAGACTTGCTTTGTTCGCTTAGCATAATGCCTTTGGGATCCATCCACGTTGGTGCTGCGTCCATAGCCGGTTCTTTCTCACTGCTGAAGAGTATCCATGGCAGAGGTGCACCCTACGCCCCACTTGTTTAGCCATTCACCTACCGAGGGACACTTTGGTTATTTCCCGTCTTTGGCCATTACAGTAAAGCGCCCATGAACAGCCTGTGCATCTCTCTGAATGAACATCAGTTCTCATTCCTCTGGGGAAAGGGACCAAGATTGCAGCTGCCTGGGTCACATAGTAAGGGTGTGTTCAGTTTTTTAAGAAACTATCCAACGATTTTCCAGAGTGGCTGTACCATTTTATATTCCACCAACAGTGTGTGATACAGCCAGATTTTCTACATCCTTATCAGCATTTGGTATTATCACAGTTTGGTTTTTTTTTCACTGTTGTAATAAGTGTACGGTAATATCTTATCATGGTCTTAATTTGCATCTTTAATGGCTAATGATGCTGAGCACCTTCTCATGACCTTATCTGCCATCTATATATCCTTTTTAGTGAAATGTCTCTATGTCTGAAGCCCATTTTCTAATTGGATTTTTTGGTTTTCTCACTGATGGGTTTTGAGAGTTCTGTATATATTTTCTTGATATGGGTCCTTCATCAGATATGTAGTTTGCAACTATTTTCTCCCAGTCCAGTTTGTTCTTTCCATCCTTTGAACAGGGTCTTTCACAAAGCAGAAGTTTTCATTTTGGTGCAGTCCAACTTTCTCTCTCTCTCTCTCTCTCTCTCTCTCTCTCTCTCTCTCTCTCTCTCTCTCTCTCTCTCTCTCTCTCTCTCTCTCTCTCTCTCTCTCTCTCTATATATATATATATATATATATATATATATATATGATCATGCTTTTGCTGTGAGGTCTAAACATAATTCATTAAGCTATAAGTATTGAAGATTTTCTATGTTATGTTTTTTTTTGATAACTTTTATTTATTTATTTATTTATTTAAATATTTTATTGGGGAATTGGGGGACGAGAACAGCATTGGGGAATCGGGGAAGGGGAACAGACAAGTTATTGTCCTTTTTGTTCTTCAGTCTAGTTGTGGAGGATGTCACTTCACTGGCCCATGTTGGTATTATCATTGCGCTCTTCCTGGGTGAGGCAGATCAGTTGCTGGCCACTGGACAGCCGCTCACGGCGGCTCTTGGCAGCTCATGCTGGCTGCTGGCCGCTCAATGCCAACTGCCAGCCACTCACGGTAGCTTATGGCAGCCCACTGCAACTTCACTGCAGCCTACGCCGTCGTTGGCAACTCACAGCAGCCCAGCTCCAGGTCGAGCTGTTGTTCACCATCTTAGCTGTAGAGGGCAGTGTTACTGGCCCTAATGTGGGATCTGAACCGGGGCCCTACTGCTCAAAGCTGGCATCCTAAACCAGCTCTTAACCAACAAGCCACTCAGCTGACCCCTATGTTATCTTGTGAAAGCTTCCTAGTTTTATGCTTTTGAATTAATTTTATTATTTTGATTTAATTTTTATATGAAGTATAAGATTTAGGTATCTAAAGGTACCAGATATAGTAGTGATTTCAGTTACCCTATATCTGATGACAGCAAATAAAAAGTAGTTACTGAGTAATTAATACTTAATGTAACTCACTTTATTTTTGTATAGTATTTTGCCATATTTCTTATAATAATATACATAGTTGAATGTTATTACAAATATCAAAAAATGTTCAAAGAAATAAGTAACAGGGGAGTTGGAATAACAGAAAAATTAGTACAAAAATGTGAGGGAAATTAAATGGAAAAATTAACCTCTTTGAAAATTAACCTCTTCTTCCTAGAATAAAATGGGAGAGGAAGGGAGAGGAAGGCAAGCAGCTGCCTCAGCACTGCATAGATTAGCACAGAGACTAATCTCTGACAGCAGTTAGAGAGCCGCACAGGTAGAGGCTCCCCGTGGCCAGCTGGTCCCTGGGTCCTCACCACAATCCGTGTCCTGAGGCAGTTATCCCATGACGGGAGTCTCGATGTCCATGCTGGAATGACTGACATTTTCTTGTGTGATGAATCAAAACTCCCTCTCCACTGCTGCCACCCACTGGTCCGAGCGCTACTCTGCGAGAAACTGAGTCTACTTCTACTTCCACAGGACAGCCTCCCACTATCTGAAGACCGCTGTCACCTGGCCCGTCTCACGTGCTTGAGTGTGTTGGCCTTCGGCCTGCTCAACATCCCTCAGTCCTTCTGCCAAGTTCCTTCTTCATGGGTTTTAATCCTGGGTGCTATCCAGATGAATCTGTGTTCAAATCTCTCTTAAACTTTGATTCTCAGAACTGAACAAAATACTCTTGCTTGCTGTGGTTTTATCAGTGTAGAACTGAATGGAAGTTCATTTGCCCTAACATCCTAAATACTTTACTTATAGTTCCTTAATAATTCATCAGCTTTTGGGGAGCAGCCATCACAACACTCAGACAGCTTCGTATCAGTGAACAGCCCCGAGAGGTCCTTTTCCATGTGTCCTCATGTGATCTCTACAGAGTGCTTTCTGGACACCAGCAGCTATCTTGTTAGACCTGAGTGATCACTCCACCCTTTCAGGACCTTTTGAATGTTCTCTCTGGTCCAAGGGTTGTGACTTTCTTTCCCAGCTTTGTGTCATCCTCAAATTTCATTAGCTAGTTTTCTGTATCTTCAACTCATCATTAAACGTTACCCCATACAAAGCTCAGATCAGAGCTCACAACATGGTGCTGAGACTCTCCCTCCAGGTTCCCCTGAGTCTGTTTGTCAGTCAGCATTGTTGGAGAATCATCACTGTTTATTTGGAGTGCCCCTAGAAGAGCTGGGACACAGCCCATGTTTCCTCGTTCTGTCCCTAAGAAGATGGAAGTCCTCACTTGACTGCTTTCCCAGACATCCTTGCGGCTCACTCCCGCACTGTCCTCAGCCTCATTTTCAGAGCAGCTGTCCCTACACCACCCCTCGTTCCTCTCCACCCTCATACTTCAGTGTATGCTGCTTCACAGTGTTTGTCACCATCAGACATAACATTTTCTATTAGTATGTCTATTGACCATTTCCCCCAGTTCAAATATAAGCTCCAGGAAGGCGGAAACTGTAGTAACTGCTATATGCTCAGCACATGCCACATAGAAGCATTTGATAAATATTTGCTGAATGAATGACTCAGGTCTTCTGTCCAAGCCAGACAGGCCTGCTAACTTATAGCCAAGTGCGTGGTTATTCTTATGCCTCAGAATGCTTTATAATATACAGACTCTTTTCACATTTACTCTTTGAAACCAGTAGTACTGTCACAAAAAGAAATGGAGTCAGTCATTCTTTTATTCAGTAAATATTTGTGGAGCAGCTGTGGTGTGCTAGGCATTGGGCCAGCACGTGCGATATGTCACAAGAGGTCTGAAATTGACCACTGGCCTCATATAATTAATGAGTTCTTGCTGGCTCTTTCATTAATTACTCAGAAAGTATCCCTTTTATAAAACTTTTAACCAGGTATGACGGATAGTCTCCTACCAGTATGTAGATCTGCAAAATCAGTATTTGTTTCCTGTCTAACAGTCGCAATTGCATTTTCTTTTCTCACATCCTATAGCATCTCTGCCTTCTATCCCAGAGAGCATTGTGAGTGCCCTGCAGATGTTTTCAAGTTCCCGGTAACCTGAAATATACACAGTCACCTCACACATGCGCTTTATAAACCTTTCAACCTCCTTGTATATTTTCTGTGTCTCCATCCAGAAACTATTCTGATAGAGAAAACAGAAGGTAATCTTCATTGATCAGTAGGCTCCCCGTGGTCTTTCTTTGACATAAAGAGACTTTAAAATATTTGGGTTTGTGTATTTTTTGTAATTTTTATTAAGTTTAGCACATGCAGACAGAACTGTGTCCTTTCTGATACTATTCTTATAAATTAGCAACACTCTATATGCACCTTATGTGTCTCCACTTTTTACTTTATGAATGTCCCTTAAAAGTCAAAGTGCATCAGTGATTCATGAAAAAGTAAGAATTATTTGATTTACCTTTCTTCTTGAAAGGGCCTTTAAATGAAGTGCAAAACATCTTCAAACGTGCTAAATGAAATTAAATGGAAATTCACATCTTTCTACAGTTTTTGAAGTGATTTCTTACTGGAATGCTAACCAGAAACACAGCATCTAAAAGAAAAATATTTACTACTAATTAAGATCATTTGACACTTTTCTACTTTAAAAAGTACAATTCAGTTTGGTTATCTGTTGGTCAAGTGTCCACTAGTGCATCTTAGATACAAATCAACCAGTGATAGACTTCTTTGAAAAGCAAACATTTATGTGTACCGTATTTACTTTCTTTGCTATTCTGTCCGTGTGAAAACCAGAATACTTAGAGGTGGTTCTTCATAGCTTTACACTGTTACAGATATGTACTGTATACACAAATGAAGAGGGTGATAGGATTATAGATGACTTTTATGAGGAGTGTATTTTAATTTCCTCTAATTTTGTATCATCTTTTGAATGAAACAGAAAACCTTTAGCTTTGAAATGCACGTTGAGATCTTGTGTAGAATGGGGGGTTCCTGCTATTGCCTGTCTTCACTGCTGAATGACAAACTGATCAAGGTCCTCAAGAATCGTGGAGCTCTGGAGCCCGCAGCATGTTTTCTGCTAAAGACCCAGAACTAATGAATTGTGTCTTTTGTATGTGGTATTATTTGTGATAGAGCAAGGGAAGAAGTATGGTTCCATGTGAAAGCTAACGGCGTCAGCTGATAGAGGGAATTCTGATTAAGGTTTCTAGGCCACAGAGATGAGGGTCTTCCATGAAGCAGAGGCGTGCGTAAGGAAGCAAGCTCAGGGACACGCTTTCTCCAACCCTTACCCAAACCGGTACTGAGCCCGTCGCTCGCAGATGATGGCTAAGGCACGGAAAGACTTGTTAAATTACTTATCATGGTGATGCTTGTCTTCCCAGCAGATGTGTCACTGGAGTACCGTTGTACTTTTAGAGCACAGTGGGAGAAATAGTTTGCATTGCTAAGTGGGGTAAGAGGGCAGTGCGGCCCCTAATGCGTTAATACCACCCAGAGGGGGTCAGGGCCTGAAACTTGGCATTTGTGCTTGGTGGTGGTATGTTGAGCAGTTCTGAGAGGTGTAGGTGAATTTGAAAAGCACATGCTATAAAGCTACTTGCAATGAAAAGTAAAGTATTCAGTGTGTACATTCATTCAGATTTTAAAGCAAAAATACTCCTCTGTAATTTTTCAAAACTTAGTCTCTCTTCTAAACTGTGTCTGTTGTGCTAAACTTAAGTCAGTGTTTATCGCTTCTAGTGTCACTGGCCCAGCACTATGGGATGCAATTTGTTAAGAAACTGGTAGAACACACAGAAGTGAAATTTCTTCTGGATTCATCTAAATATAAACACAGTCAATTCTTAGACTTTTTGAAAGGTAATTTTAAATCCAGTTACTTACTCTTTTTCCTTACAGATCGCAGATTTTGGGTTGTCCAAATGGCGCATGATGTCCCTGTCTCAGTCACGAAACAGCAAATCTGCACCAGAAGGAGGCACAATTATCTACATGCCACCCGAGAACTACGAGCCTGGGCAGAAGTCCAGGGCCAGCGTCAAGCACGACATATACAGGTGCTTATGTGTCCTTATGTACAGGTGCTTATAGGTACTTACGTACAGATGCTTATAGGTACTTATGTACAGGTGCTTTTAGGTACTTACATACAAGTACTTGTATACAGGTACTTACATATACAGGTGCAACATGTTACTTCTGCTCAAAGTTAATGCGTCTGAACAAGATTGTCAATCAGAATTTTTAAGCTGCATTTTAATGTAATTTTTACTATCTCATAAGTGGTAAAAGTAGAGACCACAGTGATTCGAATTTTTCAAATTAGAGATGCCTTGCTTTAAGCCACTTTTACATACTTGAAAAAATGTTTAAAGCATATCGTATTGTCCTGTCAATGTATAACAGAATACTCCAGGGTTTTATCATATGAGACTTTGATGTGGGGGTGGGTGGGGGGAACACAGTGTGGTTAACACTTAGCACCATTTAGACCAGGAAAAAGTCAGTAGAATAGGGCTGCCTAAGATGGTCTTCCTTATTGCTCTCTTGTGTGAATAATAAAAGCATATAATTAGAGGGCATAGCTTATCTAGGTGTTCAAGAATGATTGTTAAATTATCCACAAGTTATTTTTACATATAACTTCAAGTTTTTGTAACAGTAATTTCCTAAGTTTTCAATTTAGGATTAATTCTCTTTCAAAACAAAACTGTATATGAATATTACTCATCTTGGTTGTATATGCTGATTTTTTATATAGCAATTCACTACCTTATCATCTTTCAAAAATGGTATCTCCACAGTCAGCTTTTAAATTTAGTGTTATTTTAATTTATTATGCATAACTAGTTTATAATATACTGTATGTACCCTTTTTATCTTAAACAGCTATGCAGTTATCACATGGGAAGTTTTATCCAGAAAACAGCCTTTTGAGGGTAAGTGACTTTGACTTCCTTGTTCTAACATCACGTTGGTAGGCCACACTCAGAACTGTCTAAGTTCATCTTATTTTAAATTAGTTTATCCTTCATTCTGTGGAAAACATACTATAAAAACATAGCAATTTATCAATTGTACACAGAAAAGCATATTAGATTAAGGCTCAGAAAAATGAGATTCTAATTCTTGTTCTGACAGTAATCAGCTCTATGATCAAGCCACTGAATCTCAAGTCTTCATTTTTTTTCATCTGCAAAATGAGAATTTGAATTCCTATTTCTAAGATTCATTTGAGTTATAAAACTCTTTCTATGGAAATTTAGTGCTCCTGGTATAAAGACCAGCAGACACTGAAGAATAATTTTTAAATTATTTCTTTATTTTGAGGTTTGTATAAGTCAGCCTGCTGTGTAACGGACTACCTCAGAATCTCCTTCTCGCTCACACGGAGTGTTAGTTGCTGTGGCCCTCCCTGGCTCTAGTAGGTTCCGCTCGGTTCTGCTGTGCTCACACGGCACGGCCAGGTCAAGTCACATGGCTGAGCCCGCACTGATGAGGTCATGACACAGACTCCTCCCACGGAGGCCCACGGCCTGGCGAAGGCCTGTATACATGTTCCTCCTACAGAAAGGGGGTGAATTCATCCTCTGGTTTTAAGAGTCCTTCAGTTTCACTTGTTTGGTTTAGACGGTATTTAGTGTAATGGATCATAAAATCTTTCTAATGTGTGAAATACGTTTGTTTTTGACAGAAGTGACCAATCCTTTGCAGATTATGTATAGTGTGTCACAAGGACACCGGCCCGACACTAGTGAAGAAAGTCTGCCCCTTGATATACCTCACCGAGCAGTGATGCTCTCGCTCATAGAAGGCGGGTGGGCGCAAAACCCCGATGAAAGGCCGTCCTTCCTGAGTGAGTACACAGCTTTTGCCGGGGCCTTCTGTGCTAGAGACTAGTGCGTGTGCTGTGGAGAACACAGGCCTTGAAAAATGACACAGGGTAGAGGACAAGCTCAAAGTCGCTTTTTAAAATTCTCGTCACTCTTGTTATTCATAGTGTTTATAAAAGGGTAACTGTTTCTAGACCAGAATTGAGACTTTCTAACAGAAAAGGAAATCTGATGGGATAGTAATTCCACTCATACATGTAACAGATGATTACTGAACACCTACCTGTGCTGTGTGCCGAGGTGACCACAGAGAACAGTAGTGACAGGACAGTCTAGGCCGCTACCATCCTGGGCTCACGCTCTAGCTGAGAGGGCAGAGATAAAACAGACATAAACAGCTTATAAACTGGAAGTCCTGGGAGGAAACGAGCTGAGGGGTGGGGAGGAGCAAGTGTGTGAAGTGAAGAGACCACCATCTGACAGGCAGAGGAAACAGCAAGGATGAAGCCCCGAGGCTGGCAGGGAGCGTCCTGCGTGGCCTGGGGAGGGACCAGAGGCCATGTGGCTGGGATGCAGTGAGCCGAGGCAGTGATGTGGGCGCGGGCCGGGCTGTGGGCTTGCGGAGGTCAGGCCTGTACCTGGAGCAGGGGCAGCAGTGTGCTGTGCAGGGAACAGCCTGGCCTGCTGTGAGTCGGGGAGTCACAGCACAAGCGTGACGAGCCAGCAAGCACCTGCAGAGTTTTCTAATGAAGATGATGATCCTGGAGATAGAAACATTAGACAAAATGAAGAGTCATTTCAGAGGTAGAATGGATCAGCACCGAAATGCAAACATAGGAAGGAGAAAGTCGTCATGACCTTGGGTTAGGCAGAGTTCCAGGATATCAAAAACAAGAGCCATAAAAAAGCTAATCATTGGACTTCACAAAAATTGAAAGCTTTTGTATTTGTATTCAAAACATGTTAAGAAAAATAAATAGACAAGCCACAGACCGGTAATCTTCATTCCAACTAAACAATGAAATATATTTCCCTTTCAAAACTTGCATCCAGTGCTCATCAGCATTAGATTAAAAAAGTCAAAAGTTGCCAAACTAATGGGTTCACATTTTATCTCTTATTTCCCAGAGTCAAGTGGGAGGGCACATATCTCCTTTGTCCCCAGTGCCACGTCCAAACAGTAATTTTCTCCATTTCCTAAAAATCCGAGCTCCCCTGCAGATCTGCACGTCCTGGTTTGTCTGTGGGCTCTGGCCTCCTCCTGCATGACCGGGGCTGCGGAATGTTTGAGGGGCCCCCCATGCGGCGGCAGCTCTGAGTGCACCTGCTCCCCTCTGGCCCTCGGTCCACCTCGCCCCCCCTCCGTGCTGCAGCCACACGCTTGGAAGGTAGTCAGCCCTCCGATTGGCATCATAGGCTTGTCTCCTTGCTTCTCGTCTCACGTCACTGTCATTGGTTGCCTAATATCCCTGACTTAAAAACCACTGTTGCACATATGTTGTCTGGCGTTTTTGGTTGTTTCAGGCAGGAGGGTAAATCGGTCTCTGTGACTCTGTCTGGAGCAGAAGTGGAAGTGAATGGTTTCTCTAAATGAAGGACCAGAGCTGGGCACTAAGCACTGCTTAGCAGTCTTGTCATGCTCTCCAATATGTCTGTATTCCATTCTGATAGACCAGCTGTCCTTAAAGTGACCCCTAGGCCTGGTCCCTGAGACTCGTCTAAGGGGTCCATACAATGAGAACTGTTTTCAGAATAATAAATAGGAAGAGACTATATTCCCTTCTTACTCGCATCCTCTCAAGAATATGTAGTGGATTTTTCTAGAGGCTAACTGAGGTGTGATATAATCACTGCTCTAATAGGTAATGCAGCGTGTTCCCAGATACTCTTTTACAATTTTGTTTTAATTTCTAACATACTAAATGTCAGCAGATATGACCCACATACACAAAAGCTCTTTGGGGGGTACTCAGTAATTTTAAAAAGTCCTGAGACCTCAAAGCTTGCGAGTTGCTGTCACGCAGTCCTGTCCTCCATGTCTCCAAAGTGAAGGTGACACTCCATTCATCCCCACGATGGAAAGAGTTGGGGGGACACTGCCTGCCTCTGTCTGCCCCCGTCACCCCTCCTCAGCCTCAGCTCACTGGCTCTTAGGGAGAAGTGCAAAGTGTGCTGACCTGGACCCTCCTCAGCTTCCTCTTCTTTCAGAAGTCAGGGCGTCAGGCTGTGCACACTCCCTACCCCCCAAGCAGAAGCAGGTGAGGCCTGTGACTGAGTGAGTGACACTGCCAACCACAGGGTGAAGTCCTGCCATGCCCACGGGCTCCAGACCGAAACGAACATTCTCTAGCCAGCTTTTCTGTAATGAAGAGGCATCTTGGTCACCATCTATCTTTATTCTGTGCCTTTTCTTACCAGATTCTGACCTTAGGAAGAGAAGATGGGAGATACGTATTGTACCTTATCTTCCCTTCTTAAAGCTACACCCCTGATCCATCTTTCTGTTGAATTGTCACCTGTGGTCACACTACATGGAGAAAACACAGACCACGAAAAGGGCTCCCTCCTGGTCCCTCCACCAGATCTGCGTACTTAGCGGCACTCGCGTGCGGGGGAAGTGTCTGCGCACAGGTGCAAATGGAGACCCTGTGCTGTCGCTGTGCTCTGGGGACCATCCCCCGCACCCTTCCTTCTGCTCTGGTCTCTTGTGTTGTCTCCTATCTTTATATAACTTAATAAAAAATCTTGGCCCCCATCATCCTTCAGCTACCACCTCTTTTTTCTGTTCCCTCTTAGAGCTAAGCAGGACTCGTCCACACTTGTCTTTTTAACATGCTCAGTCGTCTGTTTGCATATCTCCACTAAAACCACACTGGTTCGGGTTCCCAGTGATGATGTTGGAAAATCCAGCCTCTTTGGCTTCCTGGCAGATGAAACGTGACCAACCATTCCCACCCTCTGGCCTTGCAGGCCCCCGAGTCGATGTTGTGTCTGCCTCACCGTCTCCTCCTCTGCTGTTGCCTCCTGTGTGAACACCTCAGAGCTCTGACGTGGGCCCTGCACTCCTTGCTGTCTGCAGTGTCTCCCCAGGTGGTCAGTCCACACCTGGCTTTATGTGCCTTCTGTGTGTCAGGGACACATTTATATCTGCAGCCCTGGCGTCTCCCTTGAGCACCAAGTTTTTATTACCGTAGTAAGAGGAGTCATTGTGATTGTTGCTACTTGTTGGCTGTTATAAACAATGCTGCTGTGACTCTTCAGTCGCCAGTCTGTGTGAGCATAGGTTTCGTTTCCCTTAGGTAACTACGTATGGGTGGCATTGCTGGGTTGCACGGTAAATTTATCTTTCATTTCTAAGAAACCGCCAAACTGTTTTCCCAAGTGGCTGCATCCTGTTACATTTCTACCAGCAATGATGAGATTTTCAGTTTCCCAGCATCACTGTCAATTCTTGCTATTGTCTGTCTTTTTAGTTATGTAGGGTGTGACATCTCATTGTACTTTTAATTTGCACTTCCCAATGACTACTGATGTTAAACATACTTTCCTGGGCTTTTCATCCATTTGTGTATCTCCTCCGCTGAATCTTTTGCCCATTTTTAAATTGGGTTGTCTTATTATTAAGTTGTCAGAGTTCATTATATAGTCGAGATATAAGTCCTTTAGTAGACACATGATATGCAAAATTGTTCTCTCAGTCTGTGACTTGTCTTTTCATTTTTTCTTAATAGCATCTTTTGAAGTGCAAAAGTTTTCAATTTTTTGAAGTTCAATTATCAATTATTTCATGGATCCTGCTGTTGATGTCATATCTGAGTTCTTTGCCTTACCCAAGGTCATGAAGATGTTCTCCTATATTTACTTAGAAGTGCATGATCCATTTCAGGTCAATTCTATGGATGGTGTGAGGGTAAGAGTCTAGACTGATCTGTTTGCATGTGGACACGCACCAGTCCGAGCACCATCTGTTGAAATGACTACCTTTCCCCTGTAGCATTGCCTTAGAAACGTTGTCGCAAAGCAACAGACCATAATTGTGAGGGTTTATGTGTAGACTCAGTTCTGTTTCTGTTCCATTGTGTATGTCTATCATTTTCCCCATTCTTTACCCCCGCCCCCTTTGGTCACCACCAGCATGTTATCTATGCCTGTAATAAAGGCAGTTCAGATAGCTGAATGTCATCATTTTGAGGGAAAATTCACTTAGGGCCTTCTCAGTTAAATATTAGCATTTATATTATTCAATTTAATGATCAGCAGTAATCTGAACTCAAATTGTTTTTTTTTTCTTATTTAGAATGTTTAATAGAACTTGAACCAGTTCTGAGAACATTTGAAGAGATAACTTTTCTTGAAGCTGTTATGCAACTAAAGAAAACAAAGGTAAATTGCTAAATGATGCACTGGGAATTGGACCTTAAACAGTTACATATTAGTCATGGAGATTTTTAGTGTAGTTTATAGTTTTTAATCTATGTACTTTTCACAGCTATGGGCCACAGTACTGGGTGGAAGAGTTTATCAGACTATGAATACTATGTGTTATCAAAACAGCTTCTCCGTTGCATTCAAATGGCCACCTCCAAATTTCAAAGACATTTCCAAAACTTTCATATACAAATTTAAATTTAGAATGTGTGACGAATGCCAGTGGGTACAATGAATGCCCTAAATCAACTAGGGAGTTTCTTTCAGTCCACATTTCCTTCCCTGAAACTTTAACATACAGAGTAACAGATGTCTGGGTTCTTGCCATTCTTCCTGTGAGTGCTCTTGGGCTTTCCTGAGACTTAGGGAAGTTGTAGAATTTTCATTCATAGTTGAGGCCAAAATGTGTATTTTTAAACCGCTTGTTTTCTCATTGTCCCACTCACTCGATGTTGCACAGACCTAAGGAGCAGCTGACGTGTTACCTAAAGCAGACGCCTTGTTTGCGCACCTGGCTCTTGTACAGCACAACTGAAGGGACTTCTTAACGTTCTCCCAAGTTGTGGTAAAACAACTCCAGTCCTTCAGGGTCGAAGCGAGTGCAGTTTAGCACCTGCTGGGTTTCACTGTATTACACTGCATTGGAAATGGGACAGTAAAAATCGCTAGTTACTGACCAGACTCTGCGCGTCAGCAGACATAATGTGCAGATCACTTGTACAAACAGTGACACTGCTGCTGGCCTCCTACAGTTTGCTGGGTAGGTTGACAGAACCTTTGGTTTAGAAGGGATTTGCATAAAGGAAACAACTACCGTAACCAAACTAAAAATCGATGGTGGCAATACTGGTGCCTCAGTTTTTTAAGGAACTAAAGAGGAACTGTGTTCATTCTTCTGATGATTTTTCCCTGACTTCCCCACTGCTGAGTAGGTACAGTCTTTTCCAGGACATTCCGATTTCTCCACGTCTAAGGAGATACAGACTTCTGATAATATTTCTTTTTGCTTTATCTTTTCAGTTTCCTTTTCTCTCCTCACAGCCTTCTCTTCTTCCAAGCAAAGGTGGATAAAGGGTCTGTTTTCTTGGTTATAAAGTAGAAGAGAACCATTCCAGTTCCTTTTTGTCCCCAAACAACTTAAACACTAAGATCTACGTTTAAAACTTAATTTTTAGAAGAAATTTTGGCTTTTTAAATAATTTAAAGTATATATTTTCAAATAACTTGAATATCATTTAATAATAGCATTACTTCCTCAGTGTTTTAAAGTTGCTGTATTGTTTTCACTTAAGAGTTGTAGTTATTTTTTTATTTAAAAAAAAAATTCCTTAAATCAATTCTGTGAAACTGGTAGGGCAAGAACATCATCCACTTTATAGGTGGAATAACTGAGGTATAGGGAGGTTAGTTACGTAACACCCTACACAGACAGCTAGCTAAGGGCAGGGCCAAGAGAAGAATATAAATTTAATAAGATTTTTCATAAAGAAATTTCTGAAAGCAAAGCTCACCATTTAGGATGAGTTGTTTTATTTGAATATTTGACTCTCATTAATTTCCTAATCACTGCGATTAAAGTATTAATATATATACAAATTCATTCCCGTTACAGAGCGCCTCGAGTACTAGTCACTTCTGTGACAAGAAGGAAACGGCGTTATCTCTGAACTTGGCTCTAAGCCATGGTCCACAGGAGGTAAAAAGAAAATTATGTTGATAACTGAAATGTGTAAAGAATATGAAGTCACGTGGTCTAACGCCTCCTTTTATTGATGGAAAACTAAAGCCGGAGGGTCTGGGGACTGGGGGGTAGCCCACTGGAGATCCAGCTCTCCACATCTCAGCTCCCTGTTCATCCATTAGAGCACAGCCCTGGCTTCCTGTTTGGCACCAGCTTCTGTCCCTGCCACTGTCTGGGTGATGACTAGCGTTCCAGGGTGGCACCAGGGAAATCATTGATTACCGTTCTGCCATCATACTCTGGACTTCCTGTCCAAATGTAAATAACTGTACAAATTGCCTGCTGTCTTCTCACAGTGATTAATAAAAGCAACATGCCATTTGTGCGGCCATCTACAGAGAATGATTTTGTTAGCAGCATTCTCTTAGGCTTATTTCATAGTAGTTATTTCTTTTAAGAATGTAAGTTGTTCACGTTACAGATTCAGGAAATACGTTCCAATTGAACCTTAGAGACAGGACCATGTCTTGAATCTCCTTTACACACACTGTCTCATTGGGTCCCTAAGCCCATTGTGCCCGTTTTAGATAGATACCTCAGATGTCACAGGGCAAGGACCTGAGACCAGAGGGAGGACATGCCTCGTCAAAGCTGAGTCAGTGATGCCATGACAGAGCTAGGAGAGGGCCGCCAAGCTCCCCATCACCTCTTCTGGACGCCCTGCAGGTGGCGGGAGCCTGAGGCACAGAGAATAGGTGTTTGCTCGAAATCAGCAGGGAACCAGAGCTGCAGATTTCTGATTTCTCATCAACCGGACAGAGCCTCTGAGGTCATACAGCACAGATTGAAAAAAATAACGATTTCTCATATATTTAACTATTACACCATGTCCCCTCCGCTCCAATCTGATTTGATAAAAAAATCAAGTTCATTTTTGTTTATTTGATATATGTATATCTTTAGTTTGATAAATAGTTTTGATTGTTAATAAAACTATTTACAATCGGTAGTAGTTTTTATTGTTAATAAGCCAAAACCAGGAACTATTTAGAAATTAAAGCTGTATGACATCTCAAACGCCTTTCCTTAACCTAAACCGTGTATCATTTTACCTCAGGAATCATGTGGATCCTCTCAGCCCCATAAAAGTAGCAGCTCCCCTGGAACCACAAGGTCCCTGTTGGCTCCTCAGGACAACGGCGTGTTATTCAGTACGTACATGTCTTAGTATTACTTGCAAGCTTTCCATTTTCTTTCAAGACGATATTCTTGGCAAACAACCATGGTTTGTATGGAACATGTCTTTCATTTGCATTCATGGCTCATGTTTACAAAGGGACAGAGTCCAGAGATGTGAAAATAGTAGTGGAAGTTCAACGAATACATTTAAGTCGTAAAGGCATTAGGTTAGACCTTATAGAAAGATAGACAACTCTTGTGAGAAAGAGGAGAAACACATCTGAGTAACCCAGTGGGAGACAGAAACTAATGGGTTATAAGAATCAAGATGGATAATTAAGTTTTACTTTTTTTTTTTAAATTTGAGGTACTTAGAAGCTCATAGAGGGTGATGTCCAGCAGCCTGCTTAAAATGGGGGACTGAGGGGTGCCATGAAGTCCGAAAATTTCTTTATGGGTTTGGGGAGAGAGGTGCCAGTTGGGGCTGAGTAGGACCGCCAGAGGAGAGTGCAGAAAGACACACGTCTGTCACGTGTGGATCTAGAGGAAACATGTAAAGCGCACAAAGAGGAAGAAGACACAGAAGAAGAAACGGGACCATGTGAAGAAGCACAATTCCATGACTGACAACTTACATGGGACAGACAAGCCAGACAGAAGGATGGTAAAAACATTCAGAGTAAACCCTTGTTTGTTCGAAAAAATGCGGGAATTCGGTTTATGAGCCAGCTTTACTAGCCGTGAAAAATCAGATGCCGACTGCCAGCCTTGGTATGACCCGGACGTTGGTATTTTAGCCAACACAACAGCTAGGGAATGTTGTGCCCCAACGGAGATGTCGTTTTATAGGGAAAACCCAGGACCTCACCACACTGCACTGCCATCCAGCAAATCACAGCTGGAACAGCAGCGTGTCCGCGGCTCAGAAGGCGACACTCTGTGACCACAGTACCACCCCGCACTCTGTAGCAATCATCAATTCGCTGTCAGCCGAGGGACATCCAGGTAAGTATCCACTGAGAAACGCTTTGTATGGGACGCCGTGCACCTCACAACTCCGTGCTCAGCAGACCTGCCATTCAGTCAGTTTTGTCTTCATTTCTTCATCCTGATAAACATACACCTTTCTAAGTCAGAAAGCACATCCACCCCAGAAGATAGGAGGGTTGATGGGTCATAACAGGGGCAGATGGTATCCCCGTGACCATCTCTAGGGAGGGGTCCTAATAGGTTACTCCAGGTAACCTTGCTCTTGTTTATTGAACAAATATGCAGGTATCTTTTCTATTTTAAAAAACCCTAAAAATGAAGTGGTTTTGCCCCCACGATTTATAGCCTATTGAAAGCTGTGCTTTTTCTGGGAGGGCAAGGGCAGAGATAACCCAAATACCTGAATGTTTCCTGAAAATTAACAGCATCCCCCCAAAATACTGGTTTTCCATGCCAGCATGACCACAGCTAAATTTTCATCTAATTTTACTCCTCGCCATTTACTGACATGTGATCCCTGCCCTTTCTTGCACAGAGCGATCGCAGCCTGGCGTGGCCCAGCAGTGGATCCAGACCAGGAGGGAGGACATCGTGACCCAGATGACCGAAGCCTGCCTGAACCAGTCCCTGGACGCCCTTCTGTCCAGGGACCTGATCATGAAGGAGGACTATGAACTCGTCAGCACCAAGCCCACAAGGACCGCCAAAGTCAGACAGTTACTAGACATCACGGATATCCAGGGGGAAGAGTTCGCCAGAGTCCTGGTCCACAAGCTGAAAGACAACAAGCAGATGGGCCTTCAGCCCTACCCGGAAATGCTGACAGTTCCTCAGACGCTGTCTCTGTTTCAAAATAAAAGCCTATAGTGACCCTTTTCAAGAAGAAAAGTCAAGTTTATTCAAAGGTATTTTGTATTTCTGGTGCCTGATCATACTGTTTCTATAAAATCCATGTGAGCATTAGAGGCTTTAATAAAGGTTCTTTTTCAGATAAATATTTTTGGGTTGTCGGAAAAGTCATGACGTATTTTTGCAACAAAAAACATAGAAAAAATACATCATGACTTTTCTGAGAACCTAATAGTATTCCTCTATGACATTACAGTATTTTTTAAATTAATATAGAAGAAAGTTTGCATCTACATAGTTCAATTTTTAACTCTTTGGTTAATTGAAACTGTTTTTTAAAATGTAATCATTATGTGCTGCTTGTACAAGCCAATGCCTTTAGGAGTCAAGTTCCTCCTGGAAGCCATTTTCACGGTCATTGTCTTTGTGGATTATTTATTATTGTCTAAGATGCAGTGTGGCTTCTGAATTGTACCCTGTGTACTTAAATCAGATATAGCACAGCATTCCCACTACCTTGTTACAGTCCAGGCTCATATCCTCTCCCAAGGGTTGGTCATTAAATTCTGTTATCCAGATTACATTTTTAAAATGGTATTTATTGATTCATTTTGTAAAAATTGCTTCAAAGATAAAACAATGTAAAATACATAAAGAAAAATATTACTCTTTCAATATGTGTTTCTACCTCCCATTTCTAACCTCAACCAGCAACCTCGGTAACCAGTGTAGACAGCATGGCATGTATCCTTCTGTCCCCTTCTCCCTGCTCGTGTGGGAGGGACTTTACTTAGTAGGATTGTCACTGTGACACTCACTGCAGCCCACTTTTTGCACTGAATAGGACATCACATTCACATCACTGTAGACTAACTCATTCTTTTTAACTGCTACATAAAATTATCAGGGATGCTTTTTTATTTCCTTAACTTGTTCACACCAAGTTTAGCCCAGACAAAAATATAATGTGGTACAGGACAAATCTGAATGTTCAAACTTTCAAGAAGCACCACACTCACAGTATGAAAAATACAACTGGGGTGGCCGGTTAGCTCAGGTAGTTAGAGCACAGGCTCATAACACCAAGGTTGCCCATTTGATCCCTACGTGGGCCAGGGAGCTGCACCCTCCACAACTAGATTGAAATAACTACTTGATTTGGAGCTGATGGATCCTGGAAAAACAGTTACCCAATTAAAAAAATATATATTTTTTTTTTAAATGAGTAACAGTAAAAATGACTAAATGGCATTGAGGCAATTAAATATTTTATTAAAATGATAAAAATAAGTATTTTAATCTCCATTTTGGAGCTTGAGTAATCTATGGTGCCTCATGACTATGCCTCTGAGAAATAGGGAAAATAGAAACTAAGTATATGAGTTATCTATTATTATACCTGTTATTTTTCATAGTGTCAGGATAAAGATTTAATTTGGAAATAAGTTGAGAAAAAAAGCATCTTTTCTTTCGGAAGCTTTCCCCTTCTCTGTACACTATGACATTCATTTTTTTGAGCCCAGAGGGTTTGAATAAGGTCGGCTTCTGGGTGGCTTTGGTGCCGTGCTGGCGCCTGGGCACTGGCACTGTGACCCCTGCTGTGTGTTCCATTTGGGACCCCGAGCGCAGAACTCAGCCTCCCTATAAGCTGGTCTGTAGGCTCATGGTACCTGCACACCAGCCGCTTCCTCCAGCATTTAAGGTAAGGGAGGCACACTGGACTCGCCATTATCACAGCTCTGCAGACTTTTGCACGAATGACAACGTACCGACGAGGACGATGATGTCAGGGGTCAAGGTGCCTGTGCTGTGACCCCTGACCCCTAACCCCAGGGGATCTGTTAGCATCCCAGCAGCTGACTCTCATCACCACCGTGTTCACAGCGGCAATGTTTAGGGGTAGGTGTGACGGAGTGTGGTGAGTACAGCCAGTGAGAAGAGGACAGGCCTGGCGAACAGCAGACGCTTTCTGTCTAATGAACAGCTCAGTGGAGCGGAAGGGGAAGACGTGCCCTTGCAATCCCATTTCCCACGATGCCATGCCTTGGGCTGTAAGGGCTGGGCCTACTCCAGGGTGCCAGGATGGGGCGGGCAGACCTGGGTAGCGCAGGTGGACCTGTCACTCAGGAAGGGCCAGGGCCACCAGCACTGCCTGTAGTTAAGCTGTGGTCCTCGCACCAGCACTTCTCCCCTCCCACCTGCCAGGCTGCGCACGACCATCGACCTGAGGAAACAGACTCAGGCGTCTACCAGCCCCATCAGTCAGTCAACTCAGAGTCATACGCAGACGTGTCCTGTTCCAGGTGTGACGAGCAAAACCACTCCCGAGGCACAGGCTGACTGGAGACAAGCCTTGTGGGAAAAGGAATGTTTCATATTTACGTTGGTAACAGATGCTTTAGGAGTAAGTAGCATTGCCCTGTTACAGTCCCCTGGCTCTCTGACAGCACAGCCCCAGGAAGCAGTATACCCTCCAGCAGGGCTGTCCTTGGAAAGCCAGTTTTGTCACTCTGAATCTGCATGAGATGGTGACAGCAGAGGCTCCTGGCTGCAGGCTGCCGCCCAGAACGGAGCACCATTGCGGGTCCACTATCTAAGCTGAGGGGTTGGAGACAGCGGCAGAGGCAGGACGGTCCCCCCGACTTCCCCCCACTCACCCCTCCTCCCAGAACAGGTCACAGAACCACCCTGTGAGAGGTTCCTGCTCTGCACCTGGAGGAAGCCAGACACTCTTCTCCCTGGAACGGGACCTGGGGGCCCAGCCACCTGCACAAACAGGCTCGTGAGCTCCCCGTATCCCAGTTACTGCCTCGCCACCTACGGCCTCGGCCCAGACCCACTCTGCTTGTCCACTCTGCACAAACGTATCGCTTCTTGTCTAAAAGGTGTAAGAGCTTCCTGCTGCCATCATTTCAGGTCCTCATTCTCTTCTGAAGCCTCCCACGTACACGTACAAATTCAATAAAATGAGTATGCTTTTCTCCTGTGAGTCTGTCTTTGTCCTTCAATGTCCAGCCAGGGACCCTACTGGGGAGAGGAAACCGTCTTCCTCTCCTCCAAGGCACTGACTTCCAAGTTCTAGAAGATAATCCACTTACTGTACTCCCAAACTAAGGCCCATCTGAAGTATGCGGTTTCTTAAGCACTGATCAACACGAAAGTTTTTAAAGATTACTTCCCTTTTTTTCCACCAGTGGTCATATTATCATTCTTGCCACGGCCATTGAGTAAGAAAAATTACAGAGTTAAATGGAGAAACCCAACTGTGTAACACATCTCTGTGATAAAAGCAGTTGTGGACAGTGTCAGCCAAATCTGTACTAGTTTATTTACTAGTAAATATACTCTTTAAAGAGAGCCATTTTAGAAGGCTTATTTTGTCAACAATTTTTGGTAATGATATTATGGGTTGTTTTTATTTTAATGATTGTCAAATAAAATCAAGGAGCTAGACCTGCATAAGTGTTTACCATCAAAGAATGCAAAAAAGAAAAAGAAATTGATTGTCACCAAGAAAATTGCCCTGAAGATACTATGTCACTACTGTAGATGATTACAATTTAAAAGAACCAATTAATTAGATATTTTATTTGCCAATAGTGGCATTACTACATTAAGAACTTAACAAATTTTTCTTTAAACCTGAAGTATATTTACTATTGCTGTTGGGGAAATCAAAACAAAAATCTCTTCCAAACCCAGAAATTCTCTCCATAAAGGTAGTAGTAGAGAAAGAAACTTTAGTTACTGAGTAAGCGTTAAAGCACAATGGGATATGAATCACAGGCAATTTGCTTACAGACTGCAGAAGCAGAAACAAACGTTGCCTTTTTATGGAGCCAAGCAGACACAACCACTCCATGCGTATTCTCACGATAGACACCAACCAGTCCTCATGACCGTCCTCAGACCGGACAGCACGGTGTGTCACACGGAATTCATCCTAGATTCACCTGGTAATTGGTGAATTAATTGGCAATTCACCTGGCCATGTGCGTTAAGCAACTGGCTGTATCCAAAGGAGAAACAGACTTCTATCTTTACGACATGAGGTAGTTTTCCAACTTGGAGCCAGGTGGCCCTCCAAAGTTAGGCTCTGACCCTCCACAGACACGAGGAGACGGGTGCTATCTTCGTGGATGATGGCATTTCAAAGAGATGGCCCCCGGGGCCTTGAGAAAGACACAGCTGGGCTGTAAAGCTGACCAAAGACCTATCTAGTCTCCAAAAGGATTTACGTACATTTCAAAGAAATGAGAAAGTACTTACAATTAAAACTTTTCTAAAGTAAATGTTCTGAGTAGAAGAAGGAGGGGAGTAAAACATCTTCACTGGGAGAAGGCAACCTCCTATTTTTAATGCATTTGTCCTCACACTGGTTACCCCAAATTAGGGATTCTGAAAGCTGGGAAACTGGGCTACGTGTTTCACGATGTACGCATAACTTTTCTTTCATATAATATCATTTCAAGGAGAACCCTCTCCTCAAAGAAATGTTCATGGCTGAGTAAAAGTATGATCTAGCAAAAAAACAGAAAAGATAACTGCCAATTACAGAAAGAGTTAAAAATGAAATGCACAAGATGTCGTGAGAGCATGTGTGTGGAGAGAATTAACTTGTTTGGATGGTAGGAAAGGCTTCTCTCAACTTGTGACAATGTGGTGTCCTGAAGAATGAGCCGACCGTGCTGAGGGAACAGCTGTAAGTGGGAGGCGGTTTCCAACCCTGGAACTGGTGGCTCACATTCTGAACGCTTGCTCTGCTTACTCCGAGAGCAGTACGCCATGATCCCCACCTTACAGGTGAGGAAAAGGAGCTGGGAGGGTGCTGAGGTGTAAGGGACCTTCCCCAGGTCACCCAGCTACCGCATGCAGTCCAGGAAGAGCTCTGCTGAGTCCAACAGCGGTGCCCTGATGCCCTGACCTCCTTAATCAGCTCCGAGCCCTTTCTATTACTAAGCAGATTCTTCCTCTTTTGTTTGCAGAATCTCTGGTGACACACATCAGCAGCTGCTACAAAACCCAACACTGTGTTCTTTTACACCAAAAGGGGGAGAACGGCCTGAGCGAGATGCACAGGTCAGTCAGTCACGGTGACACAGAGTCAATCCGTCTGTATTAGGCCCCTGCCTACAGCTCCCTTGGGGACGGTGGCCCTGTGTCCTCGAGTGGCTTCTGTTCTGGTTGTGGAGGAAAACACCCATGCCGGCAGGTGAAGATGACAGGCGGAGGTGGACACAAGATGCCATCATGGCAGAGATGGACCACTGACTCCTTAGAACTGCAGAGCCCCTGTGTGTGCCAGGTGCTGTTCACGGATGGGCACACAGGCGCCCCGGGAACGGGACGCACGCAACTCTCCAGTCTATCTCAAGCTCCGGCAGCCACTCCCATCCCCAGGTCTGTCACACGTGGGTCGCACAGCTGTGCCATCAAAACTCCCCAGGGGTCTGCATGGGTAGGGAGCACGGCTGGCCAGCTCCAGTCAGGAAGAAGGGCCCAGACCGTCCTCTAAAACCTAAATCGTGACTTTTGCTCTGTTCCCTGGCTTTTGGCTGGTGTGCTCTTCATTGTGATT